AGGAAGCCTGTTTACAGAGACAGTATGGGCAGTTTCACTCATGATCGGAGGCTCGTGATTGGAGGAAGCCTGGTTAGAGAGACAGAATGGGCAGTTTCACTCATGATCGGAGGCTCGTGATTGGAGGAAGCCTGTTTGCAGAGACAAAGTATGGGCAGTTTTGCAACCACGCGTTTCTCTTCTCGGCTTACTTGCTTGAATAAGACGCCCTCCAATTTTTAGCGCAAGGATTTTAGAAAAAAGTATCGTCTTATAGTCGGAAAAATACAGTATATATGGTAACTGCAGCAAGATTATTATATGCACAATGATGGAGAGATACTGAAGTGCCCACAATGGAAGAATGGATTGTAAAGGTGACACAATTAGCAGAAATGGCAAAACTGACCTGTTTGGTCAGGGATAAAACAATAAGTACATTTATAAAAGACTGGAAATCTTTTATTGACTTTTTGGTGAAAACGGAAAAAAGTGAAATGGTGATTTGTGGATTTGCTGATTGAAAAAAGTTGAAGATGGGACAGAAGAATCTCTGTAATGTAATTTGAATGAGGGAGGAGCGATAATAACTTTATTTGTAGCTGCTGCAAAGATCGGAAGTTGCTTATTTATCTTTTTCTTTTTTTTCTTTCTTTAACTATACTGCTTCCTTCACTTTTTCTTTTATCTTTTTTCTTTCTCTAACTTTTCTTTATATTTTTTCATGTTTCTCTTTTTATCTATCTAAAAAATGTTCAATAAAAATTACTAAAAAAAGAAAAAAATCCCATTATGATCCGTTAGCTATAAGAATTATCTAAGTTGGAGCAACTCATATTGGCTGGGAGCATGAGAAGACAACTAATTTATTTTTTTGTATTATTCCCTCAGTCAACTCCTTCCCCCACTTTCCTCTTTGGTTCAATCAGAACAGTGCATAAAACTTTGTGTTGGATAAAATTAATAATTTACGTAAGTTTGCATATTTAAAGTTGTAATCCCAGCTTCTTTCAGTGAATGATTCACAGGGCAATCATGTGTGGGTTGATTGAAGCCAAGTTCCATTACCCTAGATAAAGAATACTCTCTCAAAAGTACATTTAGCACTGTAGCTTCAGTTTATCATCATTATATCCATTCCATCCATAACAAAATCCCATCCGTGCTATTTATTTGTTACTCTCACATTGCCAATCTATAGTCATAAAGAAAGGGAGGGAGAGCACCCAGTGTTTGGATTTTTTAAATTAAAAAACAGTGTTAGAATTGAAAAGAGACAGCTTTGAACCTAGTGCTTGGTTGTTATTTTACATGGGAAAAGGGGAGTGTTGATCTACTGTTTCTTGTTCAGCAAGCTTCAAGATTAGGAGGCAGATGGTGCACTTCTTCTGTGAGGGTTATCACTTCAGCCTCAGAATATTCTGGTAGGATTAGTTTCCATTGTGGTGTTATTCCTCAAGTATAGTGCTTTATTTTCTCCTAATATTTAGACAGGTTATTGTCTGGCCCTTTTGTAAGTAAATGCTTTATATGCATTTTTTTTTTTTTTTTTTTTGGGTAAGCATGAATCAGAGGGAATGCTCTAGACCTGTAGCTGCAGTTAGAGTGGCAGAGGGTTAACACTCCAACTGATAGTGTGATTAATAAGGGCAATGTTTCCTCTTTTTTTCTTTTTTTTTTTTTTTTTTTTTGGGTAAGCATGAATCAGAGGGAATGCTCTAGACCTGTAGCTGCAGTTAGAGTGGCAGAGGGTTAACACTCCAACTGATAGTGTGATTAATAAGGGCAATGTTTCCTCTTTTTTTCTTTTTTTTTTTTTTTT